TCGACATCCGTCGCGGATTCATCATCAGAGACATGAGTAGCAGAAACAGGTGTCCCTGAAATTACTTCAGACGACTTCTAACCACTTTGAAGGAGTGTTTACTTTTTTACAGTAGGGGAACCAAGTCCGGAATCCAAACAGAAACGATAAAATTTTCTTTGTCGGAGGGTTGCATGCACAGGCAAAAAAGCCTACCGTAATGCAGCGAGAATCGGCAGTTAAACAGCTGCTGTTTCGGAGTGTGCGTTGTCTTTACTTCTAAGTGCTTCATCATCTGTATTGCTTCCACACACCAACCTACCCTTTGAGATGCGCTCAGGGGACACGATAAATGGAAGTGCGGCCGTATCAGTTGAAGGGGGGCCGGTTTTTCTCTTCACCTTTGAAGAAAGCTATGGGCTAAACATGCTCAATTGACTCCCCCCACCCTCCTTCCATTTCTTATCAAGTCAAGTCCAGGGTTCCTACGCGGAGAGCCAGAAAATCACAGCCACTCGAAGAGTCTACCAGCGCGCCATTGTTACGCCTATGTTAGGCATCGAGACCATCTGGAGGGACTACTGCATGTACGAGAACTCCATCAATCCGCACATTGCTAAAAAGTTCACGGAGGAACGCAACCGAGACCACGTAAACGCACGCCGTGTCACAAAGGAATACGAAAGTATTACCAAGGGTCTGGCGCGCAATATGCCCTCCGTACCGCCACAGGTCACACCCTACGAAGTGAAGCAGGTAGGTCATCATCCTCGCCTCTATCTCATACTGGCGGACAGCTCATTGACAGCGCATTCACACAACCTCTTTTCGATAGGTCGAACTGTGGAAGAAGTACATTCAGTGGGAGAAAAACAATCCGCTGAAGACTGAGGACCCCATTACCATCACCAAACGAGGTAGCTGTCTTTAGCCGTTCTTTTTTGACTGGCTTTCGTGATCTTTTATTTTTCCCTTTTTGGTGAATCAGCCTCATTTTTGTAAAATATTGCACCTATTGCACTTAAGGTCTAGTGTTGGGCTTTTAATTGTTTGCTGCAACCTTTGGAAAGATGATATGCAGCTATATCATCTTCGCAGAGAAATGTCTTGACGCTTTGCTACAACGTGGTCGATCTTTGTCTGATCGGTTGTAGTAACCAGGGGAACGTTTTAGTTTAAAAGTGGCCTTTGTACCTGTTTAAAGGGCTAAAATTTTCGCTCAACTGCACGAAGTTGGTCAAGTCAGGATTTGCATTACTTTGGACACTGGTTTATGTCTTTTCTTATAAATTCATGGAACCTGAAATGGTTTCGACGGAATATTTTTTAAAAATAAAAATTTAAAACACATGTTAGTGCTTGGAGCTCATTAGTTGACGTGCCTTCCCCTGTATTGCTCACAATCTTGGTTATGGTGTAGAACTTAGAACTTCATAGTTCTTGTGTAAGCTGCCAAAACGTTCCTCCAGTACTAGACACTGAAAGCTTCGAGACCTAAAATGCTGATGTTTATACTATCTAGCCTGACTTGGATAGTCCCCAGTTGTTTCAGACACGCCAGGATGCACTTCTATTCAGTCGTCTGCAAGAACCACACTCTATCATTGATTTTCGATGTCGTTATAAATTCAAATATACTTCCTTGAAGGCATGCACAAAAAATCATTTCTTCCATTCATTTGGTGACAAATTGCGTCTTCTTCGAATCTGATATTTGAGTGGAGGGACATTTCCAGGTTTAAGAACGTTTGGAATTGTAAGACTATTTTAGGTCGTGAAATATCCACTGAAGTGGTGTCATGTCTCTCCGTTTATCAATGCCCCCTCCCCCCCCATGAAGTATACAACCAAGTCCACATCAAAAGGAAAATATGCATTTGCTGGAACAACAAGTTTATTGGCTTGACTTTTCGGTCTCTCTCTCAGAACCTACTTCTGAAACTCGTCTGCTCACTTTAATTAGCAGTAGTTAACAGCCATTGTAGAATCTAAGGTGCCCCCATATTTTCAGCAAAGTATATTTGCGTATATGACGGTATCAAAATCCGCAAACCTCTCTTGTAGGGCCGCCTAAATATCTATTCCCCCCCCGCCCAACTGTCTTATGAAATTGGTGGTTAAGCCTTTAATTTTTGGTTAACGCATGTAAATGAATATTTGATTGAGGTGAAAATGATCGAAGGATATTAAATTAAAGTTACTTATAGTTGTTTTAGTCAACTAAATAGAATCAACTCCGTCAACAGAAACTTCCGTTGCTCATGCAACTGATGCCCATTGGTGAAATTTTGACCTTATATTGGCGGAATTTAACGAAAAAGGGAAAGTTGGTTATTATTATAAGTCAAATGGCAAATAGACCGGCAACAGAACCTTGGTAGCCCCACTCATTAATCCCTACAACCTGCATGTTTTCCTACGAAAACGGTATTTCTAATCTAACTCCAGAACTGTAAGTTGGACGGCAACAGTAGCTTTTGTAGCCTTACTCATTACTCCCTACTCAACCTGCATGTTTTTCTACGAAAACGGTGTTTATCGGGTTTTATGGGCGGGGAATTAGAACACGCAGTGGAATATACTTTAATAAATGCTAAATGCATTTATTTTATTTTTATTTTACTGTATCTAGAAGTGTTGTTGATTTATATCTGTGGATTTTGCTAATCTGTATTATCATTTAACTTATTGCGGAAAAACCCGATTATCAAACTGGAGGTTTCTTGAATTTCCCGAAAAATTGAAATCTTACTTAGGAGGTCGTCTACTTCAACTTACCCGTGGTCTAACGTACCGTTCTGGAGTTAGATTAGCATAGTCCGCGGCGCGAAACGCCGCACACA